ACATTAAAGCACTAACTTGAACCCAACATTCTCCCCCTTTGGATTCAAGTTTGGACCCTTGTGAATTTCGTTTTGTGCAGTCCAAGGATTTTCTCTAACCTTCTCAGAGCATTCCTGTACTGAATCTTCTCCTCGAGCAAATTTATGGCGTTAACAAGCAAGTATCTTTCTTTGGCATTCATACGTTCAGATTCCACAACCTTATCATCCATCACCCTTTTCAAGTCAAGTGCCCTTCTTACTAGCTTGATCGTACCGTCAGAATACTTRTTCAACTCACTGAATCTCATGAACTTTTTGACTTGAAGCTGAGCAAAATAGATAACCCCAAATTCTGGACTTTCAAGCACCATGTAAACTGGATAGCCTTCAATGTCTTCTAAATCTTGATTAGGTCTTTTGAGGTTGATGATTCRTTGACTGTCTTCAAGACCCATTTGAATATCAATGACCATTGACAGTTTTACATGATTTCGAATGAATCTCTTAATAGCATCCAGAGTTACCAGTTCTCCTTCCTTTCTAATTGTCATGTTCTTGAGTTCGAAGTACATGTATTCGAGATCATCCAAATATAAGTTCGAGAAATCAGCTTCGCTGAATCTCCAGATCTGGCCATCCTGCCTTGTAACTGTAAACACAGGATACCAGATTCTTAACAGTTTCTGAGCATCAATTTGTTTGATCGTGACGATTCTATGTTTTGTATGAACTTGACTGATAGGCTGACACTTGGCTTTSAAAAGGTGATGATATTCAATTCGGTAATCTTTTGGCTTCTTGTGAATTCCAAGAACTCTGTCACCACTAAGCAATTTTCTGTGACGAATGAAGATCCCAAAGTAGATATCTTCCAAGTACGGCTCTCRGATTCTTTCACGATCATAACAAAAAAAGTTTGCTCTGATGTGAAAAGGAATGTAATTCTTCGAGAAAATTTTGGTAGGATCAACAGTTTCTCTTTGAACACTGACTTCAGGCACATCAGGTAAAGCAGCAGTAGACGATTCTGGAATAGTCTGACGATCAGCTTGAACGGGAAAAGCTGGATCTTCTTCATCTAAGTCAGCTTCAAAATCAAAATAAATTCCAGTTGTTTCGTCAATGTTATCAAAATCTTCACCAAAATCTTCACCAAAATCCTGCTCTCCACCCAGAGTAGTAGAGAAAGCATTGTTGAACCCTACATTGGCAGACAAGTCCATTAACAACCTTGTTTCTACTGTGGAGTCCGCCGG